GTTGTCTGTGTGTGAAATTGTGCGTGTGTGTTTTTTTGTGTATGTGTGTGTGTGTTTAAGTGTGTGTGTGTGTGTGTTTGTGTGTAAATGTGCTGGTTTATTTCTGTAAATTTTAATCAACTGTTCATGCTTAAAGTGATTTTTTTTATTAAATCTTGATGTTAATGTGTGTATGTGTGTGTGCGAGAATGAATGTGTGTGTGTGTGTTTGCGTTTGTGTGTGTATATATATAAATGTGTATGTGTGTGTGTGTGTGTGATGTGTGTGTGTGGTGTGTGTGTGATGTTTTTGTGGACCGCAGGATGGTTTGTTAATTTTTTCCATCTTATCCTTGTGTTATTTTTTCGGTCATTGCCGTGTTGATGGCTGCGGTTATGTGATCTGAGGATGTCAGCCATAAGTTACACTGCCATGTTTATTCATTGATGTTTCGCGCATTTATTATGTTAATGTGCTAACGCGTATGAGTTCATTATGAATATATGTTAATGTAGTAGGCTTTTTTGCGTAGGTGTTCGTTATGAATATAAGTTAATGGATATGCATTTAATGCCCATTGTTAATTAATAATTAATATTAATAATTTTATTTAGAAAATTTATCAGTACATCATGTGCAACCCTAGCTGTTTTGTATTTACGGCTGTGCGGTTGCACGCAGATTTGGAAGTATTTTTAGATAAAATGTTTGCTGAACATGTGCGTGTGCCCTTCCGTACGCTCAAACCTCCTCCTAGGTAAACATTTCAATATTCAGCGTTTGTTGTGAATATGAGTAAAAAGGTATATCTTGGTGTGCATATCAGTGTGTGTGTGTGTGTGTGTGTGTGTGTGTGTGTGTGTTGAATGGGTGTGTGTACGTCTTTGTGGGTAAAAGTGTCAAGATAGATGTACGTGACTGTTTGTACGTGTGTTTCTAGGTGTACCTTTGTTTCCAGGTGTACGTGTGTTTCCAGGTGTGCGTGTGTTTTTAGGTGTTCGTGTGTTTTTAGGTGTGCGTGTGTTTTTAGGTGTGCGTGTGTTTCTAGAGGTACGTGTGTTTCCAGGTGTACGTGCGTGCGTGTACAACAACGGATGCACCCATCAGTGTCATCACGCGAACGAGTCAGCGGAAATATAATTAGCAACCCTGCAACCGCGCAAAAAAGCAAGCGAAAATATACTGGCCTGTGTCACGTACGTATAAAAAATGATGGAGAAAAAGCTAAAAAACTGAAATATACTTAAACAACGAGTGTACGTGCGTACGTACGTACTTCAAACTCCTTAAAAATTATTTTGAGATTTGAAAATATCAAAGCACACATTCACATTAACGCATACACACATTAAATTGCAAAAACGGCCACACATCAAAACACACTACACACACACACACATCAAAAACATTCCAGAAAAATCGGAGAGCTACAAATCCCATGGCATCACAGCAGAGCTTATAATAAAGCCTTCTAAAATATGCTCGTAAGAAATAGGTAGGTAGGTAAGGAGGGAGGGAGGTAGGTAGGTAGGTAGGCAAGTATAAAAATGAAAAATAACAACACATAACAACAACAACAACAACAACACACACACACACACACACACACATACATACATTCATACATAGCGAACCAACACAAACATGGTATTTCAAATATACAAATTTATACACAAATTCTCTTCATCCATCTACGTTATGACAGTACGGTTTTAAAATACCTCAAATATCAAAGTGAATAAAACATTTTTTTTTTATCTATACTGGAAACTTATTTAGACTATTTAAAAAAAATTTCTGTCCTTTCTTATTGAGAGAAAAATTTTGTTTACTAGCAAACAACGTAGAATGCCAAAAAAGAACAAACATCATTTCAAATACCCAAGAAAACTTAGACGAAAACAGAACCATACAAACACACGCACACATACACACACACGTTCACACATACACACACATACACACACGTACACACATATATAGAGAATTCACACAAACATAAAGATACACAAACAAATACAAATCAACGATTTGATATTCTTTAGAGGTTTGACAAAAGATTAAACTCCCTCTTGTTTGTCTTCAGTTCTCTCCGTAACACCCTCCTTCAGACCATTTCTTCCGAATGTCGTAATAGTAATGCATATCATTACAAATCTTTACAAATCAATTTTCATGCAAACATCACCAACCGACCCGTCTATGTCCTTAACCTAGAGACAGCCATCAAATCAAAAGAGTCGGGTCACAGAACATGCCCATGTTGACCTCTGACCTTTTAGAAAAACCCTCCTTCAAATAATCTGAAACGTTTGCTAGAGTAAATCCAAAAAACAGTAAGTCACTACATGTTATCATTTTAACGGATTTTTTTTAACTGGTAACCAATGGAGATTTTTTATCTTCCAATCATTTGCATGATCTAGCCTAATTAACCCATTAAAAGATTTTACAGTAGCAAAGTAGCAAAGTATACACACACACACACACACACACACACACAGACACACAAATACACATAAACACACACACACATACACACACACACACACATGTATAAAACCACGTAAGCATAACAAATACCGGATCGGCTCTAGTAATTATTTGTTGCTTTTTTTGTGTTATTACAGTTACGCATACATTAGTTTACATTATTTACGACCATGCGTTTTGTGCAGCATAAACGGACAGTTAATCAAACGCAATGAAAACCCACACTCACAGACACCTCACACACACACACACTCACACACACACACATTAACACATACACATGCCATACACACACACACACACACACACACACACACACACACACACATATAACACTCCTACTCGTCATAGGAAACCAGAGAAGACATTTTGGCAATTGCCTTTTATTTTGAAAATTTAAATTTAAAACTGAGATGCAAGTAAAAAATATGAAAGAGTAAAAATGTTAGTTTTTTCATCATTTGATGCTCCGTCATCATCATCATTGTAATCATCGCCATTATCATCATCACCACCACCATCTTCAACATTAAAGCCATCATCATTAGCATCATCGTCATCACTTATCAATGCCATCATCATCGTCTTCCTCATCATCAAATTCATTATCATCCGGATATTAAAAGACTTTTCCATTTTTCTTTCTCCTCTTTCCCCCTCTCTTTGTCTTTCTCTCTCTCTCTCTTTTTTCTATATCTCCATCTTTCTTGCGGGTTTACTGTGCAAATAGAGAATAAAACACGGTGCTGTAATTATTTTCCGCAAAGCATAACACTCCGTGTGTGTGTGTGTTTTGTGTGTATGTGCTTATTTGGGTGTATGTGTGTTTGGTTGTGTGAACGTGTGTCTGTTCATTAATATGGGTTCTACCGTTATCATCGTGTTCATATTATCATTATTATTATCTCAATTATCTTCATCACCTACTTACAAAAACAAACACACACACACACACACACACACACACATACATACATACATATATACATAGACACACACACATAACACATACAAACACACACATATATATATACACACACACACACGTAGACATGCACATACAAACACGTACTCGTACAAAACAAACACACATGTACCGTACCTGCAGTTTCTTAAACATTATGATCTTGTTCATTACAAACTCTAGAACATTCTTGGCGGTAAACTTTTCGGCGGGAATAAACGAAGATGATGCTGATGACGACGACGACGATGACGACAATCCTAAAATATGACCGCATTCTTTTACGTAATATTCCAAATCGTTTTCCGAGCCTTTAAAAAATTTTTAGAGAGAAATAAATGGATTGATAGCATTTTTTTCAAACCACGAAAGAAGCTCCATCATCATCTCTTACAACTACCAACAAAGCAGTGATGCGTTGTGGCTACTTACAATCTATAAAAACCAAATCACCCGTCATATTTTACTTTCAGTATTTTACTCACCAGCTAGCACCTCACAATTACTACTTAACATAATTTATTTTTAGCCTTTAATTTATTAGTACTAATTACATTGAGCCGTTGAGCCTAATTGTTCGTTACCGCCATTGTTACTGAAGCCAAAGATTACTCTGCCATATTACTTACACTTAACTATTAGTATTGTGTATATTGTATGTTTAATGTGTACATATGTAATGTGTACACACACATACACACACACACACGCACACACATGTGTATATATAAATTGTGTATACATAAGTGTATGTATATGGCACACGTATGAGTTCGCGTGGTGGTCGGGATGGGATATCACTGCATTCAAACTCAGTCACTGCGACAGCAGAGACAGGCGTTTTAACCATTGGGCCATAACACCGCTGTATTTTAATTCTGCCGCAAGACTAAAAAAACTATGGAATTAGCGAGAATCTGGAATTCAAATTCCAAGAAAATGTAATATAAATCATACGCAGTTTGAATTTTTTGAACAACATCCATGAATGGCTATATTTAAGATTAATTATGCCCTTTGTACTATTTGGAATACCAATTCTGAGTAAAATTGCCACTGGTGATGTCAAAATACTTAAAAATTACTGCCCGTACTGCAGCAGCAGCAACTACTACTGCAGCAACAACAATTACTACTATTACTCTTAAACTACAGCAACAACAACAACAGCAACTACTACCACTACTACTACAACAACAACAACAACATCAAACTAAACAACGACAACAACAGCAACAACAAAAACAGCAACAACAACATTATTTTCCACAACAGCAACAAACATTTGTTAGTCAATTGAGCAAGCCTGGCTTTCTCCGAGGTGAACTGCTCGTCGAGGTCATAAAGGTCAAGGGGTGGAGCTGGCAGGTCTCGGAAGGTTGGAGGAAAAACCTGGGTGGATGAATGAAGGAATGAATAAATAAATGAATAAAGAAATGAATGAATAAATGAATGAATGAGCGAATAAAAGAAAGAAAATAAATCAAAAAACGAATCAGTTGAAGAATGAATGAGTAAAATAATGAATAAATGAATGAGAAAATGAATGATTGATTAAGTGAACGAATGAATTAGTGAATGAATGAATGAGTAAATGAATGACTAGATAAGTGAATGAATGAATGAATGAATGAAACAAACAAACAGCCGGTTGCAGAGGTGGTAGGGGTGTTTCGATTTGCGGGGCGATGAGGGTCAAGGTTTCGTGTGGAACTTTCAACTGTTCGTATGCCCTGAATGGGAATATTATAATTAATTTTGTTTTATTGAATATTCACAAGCTTTAATTACAATATTATAATTACTTTTGTATAATTAAATTGTTTCATAATTCATAGGTGTTATGAAAAAAATGAATGAATTGATTGCCCTGATAATTGATTGAACAACCAACTGAGTGATTGCTCACCAAACGCAGATAACAAACATCCATCTCTCTTTATCTATTTTTTAAACAAACAAATCCATCAGTCCATTCGACCATCCGTACATCAATTCATCCATCCATTCATCCATCCATTCATTCCAGACATTCATCCATCCGTACATTCAATCATCCAATTATCCATCCATCCAACCATACAGCCATCCATCAATCCATCCCACTTGATAACTTTCGGGACTGATGTAGTATCCAGGGTGAAGAGGGAACTTGTAAAGAGGGTCGTTATGTCACGTGGTACTTCATCCGTTTCCTGTAGACAGGATTTGGCCTGGATGGTGATAATGATGATAATGATAATAGAATGATGACGACGATAATGATTTTAGAATTATGATGATGATGATGATGGCAAAGAACGATGACGCAATAGATGAAGAAGATGATGATGAGGATGGTGGTTGTGGCGATGATGATGACGATGACGATGAAATATGACACAAGCTTCCGAATCTAAAAAAAAAAATGAACCAACATAAAAATTGAATGAAGCATGAATGAACGAATGAATGAATGAATGAACGAATGAACGAATGAATGAACGAACGAACGAACGCAAGAACGAAAAAACGAATGAATGAAAAATTATGATTGATCAAATAAAGCAAAAAATCATAAAAAAAAAAATAAATATGAGTAAATATTAGTAGAAGAAAGATAGATTGATTGTAAAAATGAAAAAAAGCAGGAAGCACCTGGTCCGATAGCTGAGCCGTGTTTGGCAGCATGTTGTAATCTGAAATCTTTCATTAAAATAAATTTCATATCAGTTTCCGACTTTGCGTAAGTGTGTCTGTCTGTCTGTGTGTTTGTCTGTCTATGTGTTTGTTTATCTGCTTGTCTATGCATTTGTTTGTTTGCCTGTCTTTCTTTTTGTCTGTCTGCATTTGTATAAAAGTGGGTAAAAATTTGCGTAGGTGTGGGTCTTTGTGTTTTTTTCTGTCTGTGTTTCTCTCTGTCTTAGACACAGGCAGACAGAAAGAAACACGGTTTACGTGTTCGTTTGCCAGTCTGTGGCTGTATATAAATGGTTTTTTTTGTATAAACATGTGTTTGTAAGTATGTTAATCACTGTCTATGTATCTTTGTTTATGTGTGTGTGTATATACGGGCGTTTTTAGACGTCAAGTTTGAGTATGTGTTTTTATGCATAGGCATATTCGTATGTTTATTGTTTGTATGTTTGTAAGTATGTTTGTGTGCGTGTGTTTGTCTGTTTGTTTGTATGTTTGTGTGTGTGTGTGTGTCTGTCTGTTTGTATGTTTGTGAGCATGTTTGCAGGAAGATGAAAATAAATTATTTTCTCGTACGTCAATTAAAACGCATCAAGAATGACGTCACCATCCATGTCGTCGTAGTCGCCGCCATCTTTTTTTTAAGTGATGTAGTTTTTGTTGTTGTTGATGTTATTGTTGTTGTAATTGTTGATGCTGTTGTAGTTGTTGATGTTGTTAATGTTGTAGTTAAATGTTGTTGTTTTTGTTGTTGTTGTCGTTCAAATTGTCATCATCATAATTAGCAATGGCAAAGACTATCAGTTAAAAAGAGTTCTATGAGGATTGCCGTGGTTCTTATTAACAGTCATCATCATCGTCGTCGTCATCATCGTCGTCGTTATCGTCATCATCATCATCGTCATGATCAACATCGTCATCATCACCATCGTCGTCATCATCATCATCGTCATTATCATAACCTACTTCCGGATTTTCAGCGTCAATGAGATTCAACTGGACATCATCTGTTGTCAGCAAATTCAAGAAGACATCCTTTTATTGAATGAAAGAATGAATGAATGAACGAACGAACAAATGAACAAAAAACAAACAAATAAAGGAATGAACAAACTAACAAATGAACAAAGGAACGAACGAACAAAATAAACAAACAATCAAACGAACGAACAAATGAACAAACAAATGAATGAATGAGTGAACCGTCAAATAAATAAATGGACAAATAATAAAAAAAGAAGCATAAGCAAATCTATGAGAGAACTTTGGGGAGAGGAAAATGCAAAAATGGATTGACTGATTAGATCGGCATTTAATTCTTCAAACAGGAAGTATGGAAAGAACAAAAAACAAACAAAGATAGAGACAAAGATGGAGACAAAGAAAATTAATAGAAAATGCATGAACATCTAAAAATACATCAAGAAAATAAATGTGTCGCAACAAGCAACATCGTCATCATCATCGTCGTCATTATCATCATCATCATTGTTATCGTTATCATCATTATAAGCACCATCCATCCTTGTTATTTCACTCATTATAACCAAAATCATCACCACTGTTATCATTGAAGCCTGGTTGGTTCCTTCGTCATACTCATTGCAGTAATCAATTTATGACTTCATCATCGTCGTCGTCCTCGTCATCGTCATCAACAACTACATCATCAGCTGAAGAAACATCATCATCATCGTCAATAACAACATCATCATCATCATAATCATCATCATAATCATCATCATAATCGTCATCATCATCAGCAGCAGCAGCAAAAAAACATCATCGTCACCATCTTCATCAATAACAACATCATCGTCGTCGTCGTCATCATCGTGAATCCAGATAGCCATGAATGTACATGCCAATCAATCATCATGACGTAAACGCATTGACTAGGAAATAGAATTGAAATCCTTTGTCGCCATCATCGTCGTCATCATCATCCTCAACAACAATAACAACAATAACGGCAACAAGTAGTACTGGTAGTAGTAGTAGTGGTGGTGGTAGTAGTAGCTGTAGTAGTAGTAGTTGTGGTAGTACTAGTAATAGTGGTAGCAGTAGTAGTAGTTGTGGTAGTAATAGTAGTTGTGGTAGTAGTGGTAGTAGTAGTTGTTGTTGTTGTAGTAATAATAGTAGTAGTAGTGGTAGTTTGTAGTAGTAGTATTAGTAGTAGTAGTAGTAGTAGATTTTTTATTTTGAGCAGTAAAAAAATAAAATTTGCTCCCATTATTATTATTATTAATTATAATTAACAATTATCATTATTTATTATTATTATTTATATTATTATTATTATTATTATTATTGATATTATTATTACTGTTGTTAATACTAGCCAGTAATTTGGAGTTGTCATCTTTCTCTAAGTAGTGGTCCGAAAACATGTGCTGAGATCCAAGCACCAGGAGCTTACCTTTCTAGGCAAATGAATGAATGAATGAATGAATGAATGAATGAATGAATGAATGAATGAATGAATGAATGAATGAATGAATGAATGAATGAATGAATGAATGAATGAATGAATGAATGAATGAATGAATGAATGAATGAATGAATGAATGAATGAATGAATGAATGAATGAATGAATGAATGAATGAATGAATGAATGAATGAATGAATGAATGAATGAATGAATGAATGAATGAATGAATGAATGAATGAATGAATGAATGAATGAATGAATGAATGAATGAATGAATGAATGAATGAATGAATGAATGAATGAATGAATGAATGAATGAATGAATGAATGAATGAATGAATGAATGAATGAATGAATGAATGAATGAATGAATGAATGAATGAATGAATGAATGAATGAATGAATGAATGAATGAATGAATTGATAAATGAGGGATTACATACAATTATATAGGAATTAAGGTTGAAACATTTTTTTTTCGAAAGCTCGTCGAGAAGTTAAAAAATGAGGCCACGTTAAAGCATTTCTATGTTTAAAATATAGAAAAAAAAGCAGTAGTGGTAGTAGTGGTAGTAGCAGCATCAGTAGTAGTAGTAGTTGTTGTTGTTGTTTTAGTTGTATATGTAATTCATAATATGTATTTGATATCATTGTCGTTGTCCAACTTTTTTATCATCGTCATCATCAGAGTCATCGTTGTCAGTTTTATCATCATCTTCGTAATCATCATCAATCACTACTACCATCATCATCATCGTCATCATCATCATCGTCATCATCACCACCACCATCATCACAACTAATATCTTTTTCCATCACAATCATTGTCACCATAACTGTCGCATTTAATTTGCTACAAACTTATGCCCACGTCTCGGAGACAACAGCCACCAACCGGCCAGCCAACCAACCAACTTACCAACCAACCAACTAACAGACAAGCCAACCAACTAACTAACCAACCAACCAACAGACTTGCCAACCAACCAACTAACTAACCAATCAACTTACCAACCAACCAATCAAACAACTGTTTCATCGTTTGTGGCAATTTGATGTTTATTACGTATAGATGTTTTGTGTGCCTACCTAGCCTACTGAGATCAGGTAGACACGAAAATATGGTTGAATGTCTGGGTATTTTTTTTCAGAGCCAGACATAGAGGTTAGTTTCTTCATAGTAAACAAAAAGAAGAAGAAAAGAGAAAATTAAGAGTAATAAGAATAACAAGAATATTAGTAATACTCTAAACACTTATCATGAAAACGAATTGGACCAACATTAACGAGAAAAACATAATCACAAACAATAACATTGCTAAACAACAACAGCAGCATTTATGGAACAATATTGCTAAACAACAACAACAGCATTAATGGAACAGCTAAAAAACAAGGACAAACAGACAAACAAACAAGGACAAACAAACAAACAAACAGACAGGCTAACAAATAGACAGACAAACAAACAGACAGACAAATACAAGACAAACAAACACCAACAACTATCAACAAACATTCATCAACAAAGAAACACCAACCAAAAATTAAACAAACAAACAAACAGACAGACAGACAAACAAACAGACAAACAAACAAACAAACACCAACGAACAAACAGACCATAGATTTATTAATTGCGCATATCGATCTATTTAGCGGAAAGCAAGCGCCACCAGAGGATAAGATTATAACAGCTGGTCGTTGAACGTTCAACGTACAACCGTACGGATATACAAATGATAGTGCCCTTGTAAGAAAAATTACTTTATTTTATTATTTCAGTCATTCATTTGTTCATTCATTCATTCAACATTCGTTCATTCATTCATTCGTTCGTTTTTTTATTCATTCGTTCGTTCATTCATTCATTCATTCATTCGTTTGTCCGTTCGTTCTGTTCGTTCGTTCATTTGTTCGTTCATTCATTCATTTCATTCATTCATCCATTCATTTTAAATTATTTATTTACTTATTTAATCATATATTATATATTATATGTTCTCATTGAGAAAATTATTTTATTTTTCCACAATTATTTTCTCAATTAATTATAATGATGGTGTTAATAAGAAGAAGAAGAAGATGATGATTAACTGACTGTGAATATCTGCTGTCTTCATCCAGATAGCCCGACCATTTGCCAGAGGCCTGGCTGATGGCCCTGCGGCAGATGAATAAATTAATAAATTAATCAATAAATTAATCAATGAATAAATTAATAAATTAATTAATTGAAGAGTAATAGAAAAAACATAACAGACGATAATTAATGTACTGGTAACGGTGAAATTGTGAGTTACAATAAAAATCTCTCAATCCATTTGTTCGCATGTTTGTTTATTCATTCACATATTCATTCATTTATTCATTCATTCATTTGTTCGTTCGTTCATTCGTTCGTTCATTCGTTCGTTCGTTCGTTCGTTCATTCATTCATCCATTCATTCACCCGACCTACCAACCTGTTAACGACGCCATTGCAAATGAATGCTTCTTTCGGGTGGAAATATTTGTAGTAATGCGACCTTAGCACAACATCTGCCGCGTAATAATTATAATTACAATTATAATCATAATTATAATTACAATTATAATTACAATTATAACCATAATAATAATCGCATAACCATCACATCACTATCATCACCAATGCCATCATTCCTATCACATTATCATCATTGCTACCATCATCATCATCATCATCATCATCATCATCATCATCATCATCATCATCATCATCATCATCATCATCATCATCATCATCATCATCACTATTATCATCACCACCATCATCATCATCACTATTATCGTCATCACCACCATCATCATCATCATCATCATCATCATCACTATTATCGTCATCATCACCATCATCATCATCATCATCACTATTATCGTCATCACCACCATCATCACCACCATCATCATCATAACCAACCGTCTCTAACTGAAATTCCAAATTGCTCAATGAAGAAGTTGATGTTCGTCTGCATCCTACCCTCACCCCCTTCGCCCATCATCACAACCAGGTTCCCGCCATTTTCCAAAAAACTTTTTAACGCGTCAAACTATATTAAAATTAATATTTAAAAATAAAACTATATAACTGTGATTAATTAAACAATTATGGCTGTATGTACGAATCGTTCGTGACGTCATCATTTAGGTCATCATCACCACAACGTCACGATGTCATATTTTCATGATATCTTGACGTCATCCTGACACTATCATATTATCATTACAACATCCTCACAACGTCCTGACGTCATCTCATCATCATCACCATCATAGTATCGTGACATCATCATGACCACACTATATCGTCATTGCATCTCAACGCTATAATAACATCGTGACGTCGTCGTGACGTCGTTGTGACGTCATCATGACGTCGTTGTGACGTCATAATAGATTAATAAATTAACGGTTAAGTTAACCTACCTCGGCAGTTGAATATTTTTGATTTGGACAGGCGATTATGAAAATTTTGGCTGACGCAAGTAAGTTCTTGCTCAATGGCTCTTTATTCCTTCGTATTGATTGTTTGATTTATTTACGTTAAATAGTATTTTTTAATTAAACTTCGTTTATCTATTTGTTTTTGGCCGATTCACAACCACACCCACACACACACACACACACACACACAAACACATCCATACACGCACACGCACACATACATCTTCATCTTCACAATTTATATGTTAATTAAGGTATAATGTGTGAGTTGCTAGGCAAACAAGTGAGCAATTAACTGAGTGGGTAACTGAGTGAGTGAGTAAAATGAGCGAGCGATCAAGTTTAATGCAATGAGTTGGTGACTAAACTACTCACATCATGACTTTCCAACTTGATTTTAGCTTTCTAGTCAGAGTTTTGAAGCCATTGTTTGGCGTGAAAGTTTGCTTCTTGGAGGAGTCAAAAATTATAAACTCCCCGATGTGGGCGTCGTTCTGTTTTGATGAATAATTAAAATCAATTTTGTCAATTTATTTAATTTATTTGAGATTCTGTGAGATTTTAAATTTTGAAAGTTATTTAAAAAAGTTTAATTTCGTAAAACGCCATGACATGAGCAATAGCATGATTATTGGAGTAACAGATGGGAATCCTTCGCAAGCTCTAAAGTGGGACCACTCTGCCATCTTACTTTCTTTTAGCCGCATGAAATGTCATTTTTTACTTTTTAAATTTTTTGTATTCATAAAATACATTTAAATTGAAATTGTGACTATTTTTTAACAGTTTGTTTTATAATTATAGAAGGCAATTTATTACGTATGTGTTGTTGGCCATTGTGATGTGAAATTATAAAAAAAACAAATGATATAAAATAAAACAAATAGATAAGTAATTAATAAAGTTGGATTAGTAAATTAACTATTTTCTTATCACTAACATCTACTACGGGAGCCATTTAAAAATTTTGTTTACTAATAAAGGTGTTCAGTTGCTAGGCAACAAACAGATGTTTCATGATTGAATAAATGAACGATTCTTAAAGCAAAATGACGAGTTTGTTTAAAAATTAAGTTAAAATTTTATTTTTTTATTAATTTTTTTATAATTTTTTTGTTCCAATTTGCTGATATTTATTGTATAAATTAGGAAAGTAGTCAGCATTTTTTAAAACTTAAATTTACTTTTACACTTTTTAAAAGTTAAACTTACTTTTGTTTTCGCGTCAAATTGGTGGTCCTTTCAAAATAAAACTTAAAAAAAATGCCATCAGAGAAGATGCAGGTCTGTTTACTAATTTTACTTAATCACTTATCAGTGAAAATAATCAACATCATCCTATAATCAATGGCATGGTCCATTCTTATTATAAGTTTATTTGAACTTTGATTTTTAACTGTTTGTTATGGAACCACATTCATAAATTTTATGATGAATGATATTATTAACTAAATGATTAATATTAATTTGTCATTGCCGTGTAAATTAATCAATGTAATATAACCGTGATGTATATATATATGTGAGTGTCTGTGTGTGATAAGTTGATTCATGCATTTTCATAGATGCTGTGTGTGGTGTGTGTGTGTGTGTGATACTGTGATATCTCTAATCTGTAGATTGGTGTTTTAAGTGACCAACTCATTGTTATTGATTGTTTCATTTAAATTTTATATTAACCTAGGATTTCTATTTTTTTTATTTCATATTTTGACAGAAGCTAGAAAAATTACAAGAGCTTCGTCGCTTGAAAATGAAATTATTGAAGGTACACTTTTTTACTCTTAAAAATTTCACCAGATTAATAATTAATTAACCAATTTAATTAATCAATCAATTAATTATATATTTGAGACATGTTATAATCTTTTTTTGAAACAGTCTTCCAATTATACACATATATAATGCCATATACTGTAGATTAAAATTTCAGAGCAGTTGATTAAAATTTGTAGACTCAATTTAATCATTAATTCAAATTATTAAATAAATGGTGACCTAATTTTCTCCAAAACTTATTCTCTCCTACACAGAAATGTCAGCCTAAAAAACTCTCCACTGACAACAACATCAGTACTGATGAAAATGACAAAATACTAACAACAAACACAACGGCAGTCAAAAACATCAACACAAGCATTTCATCGTCACTGACTGACACCATTGAAACTACTTCAAATCAGGCAGAACTAAAAGCAGACTTAAGTTCACATTTAAAGACTGACCCAACAACTGCTGTTAAGAGGAGCAAGCATTTTGAGATGGTGGAAAGTATTAAACATGCAGGCACTGATACGATCTTTGATTTTGAATTACCAGAAAATGATTTTGAGATAAAATCATTGATGAGAAGAAAAATGAAAAATTCATTTTATGTCATGGTAATTATGACGGATATATATATATCCTGCGATATGTATGTATGTGTTTGTAAATGTGTGCGTGTGTGTGTGTGCGCGAGTGTTTATATGTGAGTGTGTGTGTGTGTGTGTGTGTGTGTGTGTGTGTGTGAATTTTTTGAAAAAACTGCAATAAAAAAAATTCAAATCAATCACGATGTATATCGCTAGTCATATTTCAATACCATTAGCCTTGTACATTCTTACTCTTGATGTTATTATTAATTTATTATAATTATTATTATTACTAATTTATTATTATTATCATTATTTTTCACCTATCAGACGACAATGATGGGTAGAATTACAAGCATCGACACATGCATGACTGTGAACAGTAATAATAATAATAATAATAATAATAATAACAATAACAATAATAATAATAACAACAATAATAATAATAACTATTATAATAATAACAGTAATAATAACAATAATTATAATAATAACAATAATAACAACAACAATAATAACATCAATAATAATAATAACAACAATAATAACAACAACAACAACAATAGTTACAACGACAATAATAAGAATAATGATATTAACATTCAAGAGTGCAAAAGGTTCAGAAACGACGACGACTTCAATTGGAAATATACAAGCGTTTACATCTTAGTGGCGTGCAGCTCTGAATATGCTATTTTTACAAACAACGACAATAACATTAATATTAACAAGAACAACAACAATAATAATAACAATGACAATAGTAATAATAATAATAATAATAACATAATGGTACAAGACGACGACAACTTTGAGAATTGTCAAAGATTTGTTAAACCAAAAGTCGAAACGGGAAGAAAATCTGAAGATTCTTGGGTTAAAATCGTTCAAGATAATCTACTGGTAGATGGATGTAACAAGGTCGTATGTGTGTATGTGTGCGTCTCTCTCTCTCTCGTTCTGTGTGTGTGTATGTATGTGTATGCCTCTATGTGTGTGCGTCTGTGTGAATGTGTGTTATGTAATTAAATTTTTTCTTTTTAATTAGCGGAGTTTGGTGAAGCCAAATAAATTGATGAATTCTCTTGATGATAATGCATGTTTGTAGACCAACTACCGTATTAGTTGTAAGTTAGCAGGAGACCAGATAATTTTTATACGAATTTATGGAATAAAATCGAAAATTTTGAAAAAAAAATAAATTGGAATAAATTAATATTAATTAATATATTATTAAAATTATCGTATATATGTATTTAATATTCCAGGCCTACATAAAGTGCATGCGATTCTTGACGCCATCGTCATCATCATCGTCGTCGTCGTCATCATCATCATCATCGTTTGGTGTCTTGTCATTAATGACGGTGCTATCAAAGACAAAACGTCATGATGATGATTGTGAGGGCGATGATGACGATGATGAAAAAGAGAAAAGTTATGATGATGATGAAGAGGAAGAAGAAGATGATGACAAAAAGATCGATCGTGATAATGATGACGACGAACTGTGGATTGTCAAGTATCATAAGAACGACGGATACAGAATTGAAAATATTTTCTTAAAAAGGTTAGCTCATTATTACTCATTTTATCATTACTTTAGTCTTTATTATCATTTCTATTATTATTGCTATTATTGTAATCTCTTAGGTATCATTAAGGTTGTCAATTTAGTTTAAAACATGAATACCATCATACCATATCTACATTTCACAAACATCAATAGCAAATAATAATAAATAATATCAAAGAATGTTAATAAAAAATGATGCTAAAATTACGTCATTATTTATTTTCAGAGTATCTTTGGATCCCAGCTGCCAAACTCCTATCTTGATTTTGCCTAATCAAAACATCCTAACGGTAGAAGAAAACGCATCAGGTTACTCTGAAATAACTCGTCTGCAATTAAATCTAAAGGACCGAAAGGTTGAGAATGTTGTAGCGTTTCACTGTGAGTCTTGCTCGATTCGGTATCTTCTTCCTTTGAATAAATACAGCTCTGTGATTGGCTACTGCGAAATATTCCTATTGCTATGGTCGGAGTTTTCGTTATTTTTTTTTTTAAATTATTAAACATATTAATTGAATAGCAAAAAAAACAATTAAATTCTATACTTATAAAACTACTATTACAACTGCTATTACTGCTACTACTACTAATAATAATAATACTGCTACTGCTGCTGCTTCTTCTACTATTATTACTTCTACTACTACTACTACTATTATATGAATAACATGAATTTTATTATAATTTTTTTCACAGGCACTGCCAGACAGGTCTGCCTCTGAGAAGATTTGATGTTGGATGTCCAATAAGACCTTGCTGTGATCTTGTCATTGATAACAAAGTTATTGCTTTTTCATTGTTGATGTTGTTGTTGGTGTTATCAGTATTGCTGTTGGTGATTTTGCTGTTGTGATTGCTATTGCTGTTTTTGTCGAAATGGTTGTTGTTGGTGGTGGTGGGGTATTTCATTTTCATCTGATAAACATGGGTTTAAGTATCTTTAATAATGACAATACTTCGCATAAAAATATTTTTATTATTTTTATTTATTTTGTTGTTGTTGTTGTAGTTGTGATGGTGGTTTTTATGTAATTATTTTATTGATTTTATATCCTCTACATGGTTTTTGTCGTTTAAATTTGAACTGGATATATGAACTGGATAATATGAACTGGATAAAATTTAAAGCGAGATAATTTTTTTCTTTCTATCTATGTATAGGGTTACCTCTATTCATACGTTAGAAAAAAATTGAAGGCTCCAAAACCGCAACAGACGCAACTTCAAGGACGACCGCATCAAAGACGACAAAATCAAGCAAAATTACACCTCATAGAACAGAAACAACATCAAAATAAGAATAAACGACCTCAAAAACAGCGATTTTCGCAACAACAGCAAAAACTGAAAGAACACACCGAACCTGAAAAACATCAAGGAAATTACATTAACACGCGTTACATTAATCAAATGCTTACATTAAATCCACAGACCGGCTCGTTTTTATTCTCAGATGTCAGTTTCCCCAACTGTAATTTGTCAGCTGGCCTTAGTTCAGACTTCAAGTACGTGGTTTTACTTTGAATAAAATTTTACACTACTACCAAAAATAATCATTATTCTTATTTTTATTTTAAATATTAGATAAACTTATTAATTCAAATTAAATGCATGACAATATTGTGACTATTCATTCAATATGATTCGAGTCTGTAGTACACTCAAATACTTACATTTTCTCTCATATACTAAAACTTTTAGGTGCTTATATTCAGGGAACGACGTGCTATTCATAACAGCTAACAACAACCACAACAAAATTCAAAGAAATCGTAAAGAAACCACAAAAAACGTTAACCCAACAGCAGTAGCGGCAGCAGCGACTACAACAACCGACGATAGTTTCGTGAAATCGAGCAATGACATTCGTAGCACTGGCACTGTTGTAACCTTTACTATCGCCAGCAAGCAGCTCGCGGTTGAGACGCCGTACCAATTGAGACCACTCTTTAAACAGTGTAGCTGCCTTCGTGATGTAGTTGTATTCACCGACGGAAGTCGTGTTTTGCTGATTGATTGTAATCCTTTTACTAAACACTAATAAGAAGGAATGAATGGATAAATATCTGAAGGAATGAAACAATAAACGAACGAATGAACGAGTGAATGATGAATAAAAGATAGAACAAATAAATGAATGAACTTGATTGTGATAAGGGATGATATTATTGTGTTGAAATATATTTTAAGCGTTTGTGAGCTTTAGTAGATGACGAAGATTATGAATAAAATAATGCGACATTCACCATTTTATATATAGCTCAAATTATCTTTAAATATCATTAGATCATGAT